GACCCATTTGCACACTAATGTGCTATTTTTAAGTCATGCATCATAGCATCTTCAAAGAGGCCTGTCATAATTATGATGGATTAGACTGCAGAGTCAGTCCAAGATGCAGTAATTGTCTCACAGATGCTGCCGATGCGACTGGAATTCATAATAAATGATTGTCAGTGAGGCGGGAGAAGGCGCAAAATCAAACAGCAAAGGCAGACTGCTGTTCCAAGAAACCAAAACGTGAGCTTCTCTAGTCAGAAGGCCAGTGTTTCCGACGGAGACAAACACGCTCCCTAAGTGTGTACTTCTGACCTAGGCGATAAAGGCCGGCATAATTGGCAGCTCAATTCCTCTCCGGCTCTGTTCCCTCCCTCACAGCTCAGGAAATATTACCCCGGGGCATTCCACTAACGCCATGGCATTGGCATAAGATAATGACTGTGTGTTCTTATTTATGTTAAATTACCTGGTTATAATTTAACCTTTAGAAATTCCCCCCAGATTGGTGGTATTTACAGTCGATGGGACTATCCTTTTCTTCGGTTCCTTAGAAAGCCATGCTTTATGAGGAATATTAGACTATTAAAAGGATGAATGTAAATACCCTGGCTGGTGAGGTCTGCATTATGGCATTCTGTTAGGATTTAATTAGCATCTGTCATTATTTTAGAGTCATTTCCAAACTGTTTTAGCCTTTATAAAAATTGTAAACTGATGATACAGTTTAAGGGTTATATTTTGATTTTAAACACTTAGTTCACTTTTTTACTTTTGGTAAACTTACAAAGAAACCCGATTCTATACCACACAGTCCAAGCCAGTGTGTGTGTGAAGTTCAGTAATTATCTATGTATTAAACTTCAGTTAGCAAAGGTAACTCACAGTAAAGCTGATAAACATAACGACATCTTTTCCTAGGTTAAGGGTCTAATAGTTGGAAAAGTGTCCATAACTCTCTCTCTCTGGCAATTAAAAAAAAAGAAATTTAAGTAGGACAATTATTGTACAGAGCCTACAAGTTATAGAACTTACATAGGTACACGTGTGTACATGTAAATGCCTTTCGATTAGTTTATATGTTAACTGGCTTTAGAGTTGCCAAAAGAAAACAATTTTTTGATAGTATTGAAAAAGCTGACTTAGTCCCTCTGAATTTGTCTAGGTATTTTTATTTATTTTTTAACTTTTCTATAGGCTGTGTGCCCTTGCCAGAGATAGAGAGGGAAAGTGAGAAAACACCCATGAAGTACTGGCCACCCCAGTTCTTTCTCCTCTGTTCTCGGAATCTTGGGCATACAGGTGCACACACACCTGGAGTGTTTTTCAACTACAAGGAACAAGGCTCGAACTATGCAATTGGGCATGTGGGACCCAGCACTTTAACCTCCAAGCCATCTGCTGGCCCTAAAATTGTTTGTATGCGCCTTAATTTTTGAAAAGCAACAGTGCCCTGATTTTGGAGAAGTCTGTTACATCAAAGACTACAAATGAAAAAACTTTTTTTTTTTCCTTTGGCCAGAGGACACATGTGCTTACTAGGGCGATCCAGAGAGAGGGAGAACACTCCCACAGAACATGGGTGTAGCACGATCTCTTCTCCATCTCTCCGTCCTGTAGGGCTAGGGGGCACGCAAGCATGCCAGTTGTGTTTTTCTCACCCCAGGGCCGGGATTGGGATCACAGAGCTGGTCATGTGGGGTCCAGTGCCCTAACCATCAGGCCATGGGCAGCCCTGCAAATCACTTTCTCTAATTCTAGAGCTTCAAGTTTCTCTGTTATGGTTGACTTGTACCTGCGCCCAGCTGAGCGCAGAGTCAGCAGCAGGCAGGAGGCAGTGCTGAGGACGTCACCGCTTCCGTGTGTTTGGGGTTTGTGTATTCCCCAGAATGTTCTTAAAGTTTTATTCGAAGAAGTCTTCTGTGTCATTAAAGGTTGATTTCTAGTGTTTTAACTTGTTTCCATTGTAAGTATATTATTTTCATCAGGTAAATTTTCTGACTTCTTGTTGCCTTTATACATTGGGGCTCCAGTTTTCTTCTCAGGCTCACTTGCCCAAGCACCATAAAACCAAACCCTAGGCATGGGATACGATGGAGGAAAGTGCAGACGTACTGCCAAGTGCAAGGCAAAGAGAGCGGGCACTTCATGCTGAACGACCTGGTCTCCCGAGATGTCCCACATGCGTTTTTAAGGACAGAATTAGGGGCTGAGGTCTCAGGCCATGATCAGTTTAGTCATTGGTTCAAGAGGGCATTCTTGATTGGTGAGGCCTCAGATCATCAAATTTCTCTTTAGGTTTCTGGAGCCCTTCAGCCTAGAGTCTTTGAGCTCACTACCAGCAGTTTCCAGCCTACAAAACACCTGAGAAATTGAAATGAAAACCTTATCTTCCCTTTAAGTGCGAGTTTGAGAGGTCAAATGACCCTCATTCGTGGTCCATGCTGGTCATGACCATAACCAAAGTCTAAAGACTTACTCCTTACCCTGGACCGTTTCAATGAAAACGGACCTTAACTTGTTTCTTCTTAAAATTTTTTTCTGAAACATTTTGTAATTAATTTACATTCATTCTATATTTCAAGAACCTTGGCAAACACATTAGGGGGTCCTTGCTCATTTTCAGGTTGTCAACTGTAACCTTGATATCAACATTTTCCATCGATTCTCTTGGTGGCCAGCGTAGTCTTACTATCTGCAAATAATGATCGTTCTACATTGGTTTCCAGTGTTCGTATCTTCTTTCTCCCCATTTCTTCCGTCTCTTTTAGTAAGCAAAGGCTATTTTCATAGAGCTTATTTTTAGCCAAAGAAACTCTTGACTTTTTTCCTACTCGCATCCCTAAAATGAGTGTAAGGAGAGCAGGAAGCATGCTGCGCTGTGCATGGGGAGCTGGCCGCCCTCCACAGTGAGTCTCAGGCTTCTCATGCCCACTTGCTCTGCTTCTCCTTGTTATTCGGACTTTTACATCTTCACAAGTACTGACCTCAAAAATGTTTACTCAATGATGAACAATGTTTTTATGAACCTCGTGAAACTTACTGAGTGCTCGGTCTACGCTAGGCACAAAAATGAACCAAGTGGAGACTTCTATGGGCTCAAGGCCCAGGGAGAGTAAACAGCAAGACTGAGTATGTGTTCCGTAACAGACCCTAGGAGACATAGTGGGAGTGATCTGTTCTCTAAAAGACCTCGCAGAGGTGACACCTGAGACAGGTGTAGACTGCCGCGTACTAGTCACTGGGCAAAGGAAGGGGTTAAGGCGGCTTTCTAGGGGCCCACGATGGTGTAATGGTGACATTGCTGGATTCCCAAGTAGTAAACCACGGTTCAAGTCCCAGACCCAGCGGCCTAAGACTCATGCCGGGCACATGTGTATGTGCATGCCCAAAATTCTGAGAGGTGTGGTGTGGCCATTCCCCCGGGGAATGGTTTCTCGTGTTCTCTCTCTCACTCTCCAGTCAGCACACATACATGCTCTATAGCAAAAAAAATCTCTCTATAATGAAAGCTTTCTAGGGAGGCAGATGGGGGGGAGCAGCATGGGGGTCTGAAATGGGAACTATAGGGTCATTGAGAAAGCCATGATGCATGTTTGCACAGAATACATGAAAACACATCATGACGTTCCTAACAACCTGTTTGGTCCTTATCCACCGTGAAGGGGCTGGGCAGGCAGGACTGGACCCTTATGAGAGAGGCCATTCATAGTCTATCAGGTAGGGGTTCAGATCTGTGGAGAAAACCCGAATGATCTACAAAGGGCATTTTCCAAATCAGCCCTTACCCCATCCCCTGGGAGATGGTCACACACCTCAGGCCTCAGGGCCAAGTTGGTGACAGGAGTTAGCAGGGTGAAGCCGGAGGTGTGGCTTTTAGGACATCCCTTTGATAATAAACTGAAGGGAGCCTTAAAGAGCCAGGGGAACAGCGCAGGCTGAACTCAGGGAGAAACTTGCCAGCCAGTGGCAAGGTGGCTAGGGTGGCTGGATCCTGCATTGCTGGCTGTGCAGTTTGAGTCCCAGACACAGTGGCTTCAGAAACATGCCAGGTGCATGTGTGTGCATGCCCAGAACCCCACGGGAGAGTGGAGAAAGGACTGTGGCGTGGCCGTCCCTCTGGCGAGGGCTTTTCCCTTTACCTTTTCCCTTTACCTTTCCTGTGAACACATGGCCCTCTAGCAAATTTTTTTTTAAAAAGTATTGGAAGTAAAATTGCTAGCATTTAGGAAATGACTGGATAAATGAAGGGGAAGGCGCTCTTTGCTAGTGGTCTTAGCACCTGACAGAATTATTCTGGTGGTTACTGTGGAAAAACAAAACCACCATTTAGTTTAATGATCTTAATTGGCTCTTTATAATTCTAGAATCAACCAATGCTTCATTCCATAAAATAGATTAGCATTCCATGGATTAGAAAGGCTGGTTTTATGGACAGAGAAGGAATGAAGCAAGCACCACCTGAGGACAGGGCGGATTGGGATTTCAAGGGCACTTTCCTGACTGGGCGGGGTGCCGCAGAATGGCAGGAACAGAACTGTTAGTTAGCATCAGACACCTCAGGGCACTTCTTTTGTGTAAGGATTAAAGCAGAGGGCACTTCATCAGGGGCCTGGCTGGGGAATAATGGGCTATCTCCCCATTATCCAAGGCAGATAACAGCTTGGTTTTGTCTGTGACTCCATTTAAGTTTTTAGTCTGGTCTGGTGGGGCCTAGTATGGAAGCTTAAATTTTACTCAACAGTACTAATTACTGGTAAACTGAACTTCTCATTAGCTGGTGATTTGTGTCACCCTTGTTTCCCATGACCAGAAGCCTTAGCGAGTGTCTAGCCAGGCAGCACCCATTTCCTGAGAGATGTAGGTTGTCACTGTGCAACGTGAAGATCAGTAGCAGTGAGCTGCGCTTACCAGTCCCTCATAAACGCCACGACCGCTCTGGGATGTGTTCACAGTGTTAGGTAGACAGACAGACAGACCTAATGCATTTTTGTTTTTTCCTTCCTGCTCTCTAGAATTCATTTGGGGGGCAGCCTTGTGGATGGCCCCGAAGCAAGCCTGATGGAACAAGACAGAAGCAACCATGCTGAGGGCAACGGACTGAGTCCATTCCTGACACCGTTGCCGGCTCCCAGTGGCCAGACAGACCCTCTGGCTATCAAGCTCCAGAATGGAAGCCCGTTAACTGAGAGACCTCTTCCAGAAGTAAATGGGGACATCAAGTGGCCATCTTTCAAAAGCTACTATGGAATCCCCCACATGGAAGGAAGTCCGAGCAGCCGTGAGAGCCCGGACTCCATACAGGAAGGTAGAGGGTATTCCAAGTGCTTGCAGAACGGCGGAATAAAACGCACAGTGAGCGAACCTTCTCTCTCTGGGCTCCTTCAGAGCAAGAAATTGAAACCAGACCAAAAGGCTAATGGAGAAATATCCAGCTTCGGGGAAAGCCAAGAAAGAAATGCAGGTGAAAGCAGCAGCCGACCAAACGCCTCCACTCTGAGCGAGAAGACAGAGTCCGTGAACTCTGGAGCCCAGGAAAATGCAGCTCAAGGTCTCCCCGGGTTTTCCACACGTAACTGCGGCGGGTCTGAAAATCCAGAGCTCCGGGTTCTAAGCGAGCGGGAGGGGGAGAGTGCTAACTACGAGGACAAGAACGTTGTATTACTTCTTAAACACAAGGCAGTGCTAATGCCTAATGGTGCTACAGTTTCTGCCTCTTCCATGGAAAACACACACGGCAAACTCCTGGAGAAAACACTGTCTCAATATTACCCAGATCGTGTTTCCATTGCGGTGCAGAAAACCACATCTCACGTGAATGCCATTAGCAGCCAGGCTTCTAACGCGTTGTCCTGTGAGATCTCTCAGCCATCGCATACCTCAGGGCAGATCAATTCTTCACAGACCTCCAACTCCGAGCTGCCTCCAGAGCCAGCTGACCCCGCGGCCGTGGTGACTGGGGCCTGCGACGCGGACAGCGCCAGTAACCCCGCTGCAGCGCTGGCCGCCTGTCCCATCCTGAACCCAGAGCGTCTCCCGCAGCAGCAGGTGGCATTCGCGGCAGGCCCATCCCCTGTGGGACACAGCCATGGCCCTGGAACCACGCTGAGCGCCTCCAGTGACGAATTCTGCTCGGGTTCCAGCGGCAGCCTGCAAGCTCCTGGTGGCAGCTCTGAACGGTATTTAAAGCAAATTGAAACGAATGGTGCTTACTTCAAGCAAAGCTCAGTGTTCACTAAGGATTCCTTTTCTGCCACTACCACCCCACCACCACCCCAGCTGCTTCTTTCTCCCCCGCCTCCCCTCCCACAGGCGCCCCCGCTTCCTGCAGAAGGGGAGAGCTCTCTGAATGAGGGCGTCTTGGAAGGACACCATCCTTACCCCAGCCAAAGCAACACAACTCTTCTACGGGAGCTGAAGGTAGAGGCTCAGCCTGAGACGCCTCCATGTCAGAGTCCTAACCCAGCCATGCAGGTACTCGATGCCTCCCTGCTGCTTCCAGAAAGGCCTCAGAATAACTGTGTTAACAAGAGCGACCTTCGGACCCCAGGGACGATGACCGTCCCGTCGTGTCCCGAGGTAACAAGGCCTTTCTCGGAACACCTCAAGCACAGCCCCCAGGTGCTCGGGAGCAGTGACGGTCTGCAGGACCCCTGTCAGCAGGCGATGGGGCACAAAGAGCGAGAGAGGCCGACGCGGCAAGGCGTGGACGACCCGCGGGAGCCTGTGCGCCCAGCACAGCACTACCTGAAACCAGGCTGGATAGAACTGAAGGCCCCGCATTTTCGTCAAGCGGAATCTCACCCAAAGCCTGCCGAGGCCTCGCAGCGGTCAGTCCTCCAGTATCAGCCCAGCTCCTCCAATCAAATGACCTCTACACAGTACACTGGAAACTTCCACACGCCTGGCCAGCTCTCCAGGCAAGCATACACCCAGAAAGCAATGGTGCCAGAGCAGACGTCACAGACGCACCAGGCCGAGATGAGCCGGGGGCAGTCTCAAGGCGCCGGGGACCAACAGCTCCAGTTCCAAACACCCTCACACCAGGTGCACGTCTCCAGGACAGACCCTTCGCCCAGAGCTCCTGTGCAGTCACTCTGTGCCCCTAGGTTTCATTTTCCACAGAGAGCAGACCCCCAGACTGAGAAACTGACAACTCCATTGCTAAAACAGCACTTGAACCAACAGGCTTCAGAGATCGAGCCATATTCAAACTCACACCTTTTGCAGACTAAGCCTCATAAGCAGGCTGCACAAATGCCCCCATCCCAGAATTCACAGCTCCCTCCTAGCCAGCAGCAGCAAAAACTGCAGCTGAAGCATAAAGAACAAATGCCCCAGACTTTCCCTCATCCCCAAGGCAACAATGATCAGCAAAGAGAAGGAACGATCTTTGGACAGATTAATGTGGAAAAATGCTTTCGTGGTGAAAAGCAGTATTCAAAACCAAACGAGTTCCAGACTTATGATAAACACGTGGCACTGGAGCAAGTCCGGCATCTGAACAGCAGAACTCTCCCTTATGGCCAGATCACGAAGTCAGGTGCAAGCCAAGTGCAAATTCCTTGTCCACACAGTACACACCTAGGTCCAGAGAATAAAGAGCAGACTGCACATCCAGAACTCTTTCCAGGAAACAAGGCCCAAACCATGCCTCCCATCCAATATTTCCCAAATAATGGGACTCCAAAGCAAGATGTCCTTCACAGGTGCTTTCAAGAACCAGAGAAGCCTCAGCAAGCTTTGGTTCCGCAGGGATATAAGAGTACAGACCGAGATACGTCTCATCCACACGGTGCACAACTAGCTCAGCAAAGGTACTTGACGCCTACACAGGCGAATGCTTTTCCTGTGCCTGACCAGGGAGGAGGTCACCTGCAGACCCCTCCCCAGAAGGACATTCACAGACATGCTGCTCTTAGGTGGCACCTCTTACAGAAGCAAGAGCAGCAGCAAACACAGCAGCAGCAAGCAGAGTCATACCACAGCCAGATGCAGCGGCCCATCAAGGTCGAGCCAGGATCCAAGCCCCAGGCCTGCATGCGCCCTGTGTCAGCACAGCCAGAACAACAGAAGCTGTGGAAAAAAGTAACCAAGCAAGAGGTGCCCCCTCCAAGCTGTGAGAACGTGCAGCAGAAGAGCATTCTAGAAACCATGGAGCAGCATCTGAAACAGTTTCAGGTCAAGTCGTTATTTGACCATAAAGCTCTGACTCTCAAATCACAGAAGCAAGTTAAAGTCGAAATGTCAGGGCCAGTCACGGTCCTAAGCAGGCAAATGACCGCCATAGACCTCGACAGCCACACCCCAGCATTAGAGCAGCAAGCAGCCTCTTCCTCAGAAAAGACACCAACCAAACGGACAGCTGGCCCTGTTCTCAGCAATTTCTTAGAGTCACCTTCCAGATTACTAGATACTCCCATAAAAAATTTACTGGATACACCTGTCAAGACTCAGTATGACTTCCCATCATGCCGATGTGTAGGTAAGTGTCAGAAACGGAGCGAGACACATGGTGTTTATCCAGAATTAGCAAATTTATCTTCAGATATGGGTTTCTCTCTTTTTTTTTTTTAATCTCGAGTCTGGCAGCAATTTGGAAGGGCCCATAAAAGTCTGAAGCTCACATTTTCTTTGTCTTGAATTTACAGATGCTTGCGTCATGCAAAGGAGAACTTTACTTACATGCAGTTTTTCAAAAAAAAAAGATGGTTGTGCATGCTCATTTTTCCCTTCATTCACTCTTTTAAGATATACCTGTATGTTTGAGATTACTCCACCTATGTAATATTTTAGATTGATCCACCTACGTAATATTTAAGTCTTTGTATATCATTCCTTGGAGAGACCTGCCAGGCAGGGAAAAAAAATCTTAGAATGCAAACATAACGGCCACATGCAAGCTAATGTAAGCAATACTCATTTTTTTTAATATCAAAGTCACATTTATCACTAGTTTCTCAAGATTTCTGGACAATGGGGCAATTACCGTCTTCCTTCTTGAGTTGGGCGGTTTATACTGCTGAAGCTCTGCATACTCACAAGGTAGCTTCCTCTATTTGGACATGTTTCATTTTGATTCCTTTTCTCTTTAAAGGTTCAGCTTGTTTAAAAGTGGTATTTCCATTTCTTTTTTAAACATCTTTTTATTAGAATTTAGGATACGTGGTACCTCTGTAGGGATAGAGAACTAGTTTTGCTGATGGACGTGGCTAGAGGTGTGGGTGGAGAAGATCTTAGCAACCTGGCAGATACACCAGAGGGCATTTGAAAAAGCCAACGCTAAGGTGGTGTGGCCAATGTTCGCCCCATTTCCCCCACAGAGGATGCCCCACGGGGCATAGGAGGCTGCAGGGAGGGCCTACTGCCCCTCTCTGTGTGGCTCCTAGGCTTCACTGGCTCAGGCGCCACATGTAGTATGTAACATAGGTAAGTTCTCGTCGTCTCCACTTCCACCCCTTCCCTCGCCAACCCTCCTTCCCATGATCAGAGCTGGTCTGTAGCAGTCCCTGACCCTTCTGGATTTCTCTCTCGTCATGAATTACTCTTTAAGTACATACAGATATGGGCCTGGGTTGAATGTAAATATCATGAGAAATGAGAAGAGGGGGAAAAAAAAAGAATCTCTGACAATAAACCAAGCTATATTCTGGGGATGGGATAGGATTGGAAATTCCATGTTTAATCTTTTAACATCCATGAGGCAGGCAGGCTTCTGCGTAGCTTAAAGTTGTGTTTGGGCTGTAAAGAACTGCGTTGCAGTCGCTACCACATATAACACATTCCAGTTCCTCACTCTTTTACTTGTTTGTGCGTCTAGTTCCACTCACTTGGTTTAAAAATAAACAGTGTATTATCCTGTATCTGAAATGTAATCTAATTCACTTTTACCCAGCAGCCCCAGCATGTCCGCACGCTTAATTATGCGGCACATCTTCTAGAAGATCAGTCTGTCAACTGGCTCATTTTAAAGAGAACAAAAAATTAGTCACTTTCAGGGCCCTTAATGTGCAGTTGGGGGATAAGCTTTGTGGGTGCAGGCTTTATATTTAGTGTAATTGAGGTCTATAATAATAATCTTCTATTATCTCAACAGAGCAAATTATTGAAAAAGATGAAGGTCCTTTTTATACCCATCTAGGAGCAGGTCCTAATGTGGCAGCTATTAGAGAAATCATGGAAGAAAGGTAATTAACGCAAAGGCACAGGGCAGATTAACGTTTATCCTTTTGTGTATGTCAGAAGTTTTCAGCCTTCACACACAAAGCAGTAAACAATTGTAAATCGAGTGATTATTAGGAGGCTTAGCCATTCCAGGGTTCCAATACTGCACACTGTGCTATTCACCAGAGAGTCACAATATTTGACAGGACTAATAGTCTGCTAGCTGGCACGGGCTGCCCGCTCTGAGAGGGACGCCAGGAACACAGGCACAAGCGAGAATCACCCTGCCAGCGCATCAGGCGTGAGGGTGCTGGCCTGGGCTGCAGAGAGACCCATTCCGGCTTCCCCACTTGGTGCTCAAGGGTCAAACAGGAAAGGGGAGCACGTGGCGTAAGTAAGGAGCCACCCTGAGCGCTGCTAATGCAATCTTAGGACGACTTCTTACCGAGAACAGAGCTAGCATTCGATGCTGAATGAAAGCAGTCTGCCGATAGCTCTTACTGTCAGTCACAGGTCCGCAGGCATTGCTGTGTCTGCACAGTCCCTCCTGCGTGTGGAAGGTCCCTAGGAGCATGATAATCGAGGCAGAGAGGGCCTTTCACTGAGGCATCTGCGGCTCTGAGCTTTAGTCTGCCAGCACGCCTTTTCACAGAGAGGTAGGCGTGTTATCATTAAAATACATTAGTGCACGTTCCGGCAGCGAGAATGGATTCGAAGTCATCCTTGCTCCATCTCCAAATTATTCCTTTCTAAATTAGCGTGTAGAAATTCACCAAGTAATCATCTTGCGGCCTGGCAGAAATAGTGGATGTTCCAAAGTGCCTTTTTTATTACCAAGCTGTAAGTGGTGCTCTGGTCATAAGAGGAAATATAGTCTATTTCTAGAACTCTTCTGTGCTTACTAAATGGGTGGATCCTAATTCTTGGCCATCTCCCTTTTAAAAAGCGTGAAAGAGTCTTTGAGTAAAAGCGCTAACCAAAGTCTGTTAAGAGTCTCCGAGATTTAAAATAGCTAAATTTAGTCAAGGACAAAAGATCAAACAGTATATGTTTTAGAAGACTGAATTTAGGAAACCAACTTAGATTTTGTGCTTTGTGAAGTTATGTGTAAAAATAAGCTCTCCCATTATTTTCACCCACCGTGTAATTCACAAAATAGTTCATTACAATTCTCAATGTATTTGGATACTAGAGAAACATGACACTTAAAAGATATTACCCAGTTTGCTTGGCTTAGAGCTGTTTTTAAAACATAAAAGAATTCGTTTCTCAGGGTGTGGTCCTAGAATAAAATTATACTCAAATGTTCAAATATTTTGATTGCCTCTTGAATTCGTTTGCTAAATTCGTTTGCTAATTGTGTGTGTGTATGTGTGTGTGTGTGTCTCTGTGGGTTTCTTTAAGGTTTGGACAGAAGGGTAAAGCTATTAGGATTGAGAGAGTCATCTATACTGGCAAGGAAGGCAAAAGCTCTCAAGGATGTCCTATTGCCAAATGGGTAAGTGTCATCTGGTCTTCAATGTTGGGCCTTCAGATTAGTGAACCTAAACCTTGAGAACTGAATTACCCAGATTAAAGGGTTGTTCCAGTTGAAACGAACCTTACCTGTTTTTATGTTATCATGTGCTACCTCTTAAGAAGGCGGGTTAGTTTTCAAGTCATGAACAAACTCTTTAGTACTACAGAAACAATTTTGCACACAATTGGTTTAAAAAGAAGTCCCACACACGGAAGTTGTCTAGTCGAGCATGAGCTGGAAGACGTGGTCCTTAGTGCTTCCGGCTCCTTCCGTCAGTCCTTACATCCCCCTTACGAGCACCTGGGGCTGTGACCTCGGCTTCCTCCAGCGCTGCCTTCAGCGGGGGCAGCCTGGGCCACCCCTCTAATGGTGTGGGCTGACAACATTCCGGAGTTTACACTCTGCCCATTCTGACACCAGGTAAGCCCCACTTTGCACATGGCAGCAAAAGACAAATTGTGGGTGCTGACCGATGCCGTCCTAACTGGGACCCTGTGAACTGTGAATAAGCTAAGTGCATAACTCACTGCTCTGCCGTGCTGCGAGTGACCCTTGTCTGTCTTGGTTGGGCGGGGTGTCTGGGTGGCGTGGTGATCCGCACAGGTGGTTCGCAGAAGCTGCGACGAGGAGAAGCTGCTGTGCCTGGTGCGGGAGCGAGCCGGCCACACGTGTGAGGCCGCGGTGATCGTCATCCTCATCCTGGTGTGGGAAGGGATCCCGCTGACGCTGGCGGACAAGCTGTACTCCGAGCTCACCGAGACCCTGCGCAAATACGGCACGCTCACCAACCGGCGCTGCGCCCTGAACGAAGAGTAAGCCAGGCCGGGCTCTGCCCTGGGGCCGGGGAGCTCATCTTGGGTTGGAGGGAAAACAGGTGAACCTGCATTTTGACATTGGTAACACGACATCAGAGGGCTCGTTCCACAGTCCGATAGTAAGTCGTATTGCCAACAGGACGAGAGTGAGGTCATTTATGAACTCATATTCTGTGTTCCCGATGGGGTGCCCGTTAGATAGGGGCACTGGGTGAAGTCTGAGTGTCTACCCACATGGCTGCCCTCATGTCACACTTGCTGGCGTGGACACCACTTCCCCGGCAGTGTGGGAACCAGAAAGGAAGCTTGCTGAGAAAGGTTGGCATTTCCAGGTCAAGGGCCTTATTGTTGTAGCCATCCTAAAAATACAAGGCCTATAGGGATAGAACTGACTGGGGCTGGCAGGTGGCCTGGTGGTTGAGGTGCTGGACTCCCCACTTGGTCTACCATGGTTCAAGTCCCAGACCTCTGCTTTCTCACTTTCTTTCTCCTCTCATCAAATAAGTTTTTCTTTAAGGAAAGGAATCGAACTTTCACTTATTTTCCAGGAATATAAAAATGTAAGCTGGGACAGCAAGGCCATGCAGTTAAATATAGTTCGTGTGTCTGTTCCTAATTTTTTTTATTGTTTTTTTTAACTTTATCCATTTTTCAGAAAGTCTAAACCTTCACTTGGAGAAACCGTCATTTTAATTATTCTTTTGTTATGCTATTCCTGTCTGACATTAAAAACTGTATACACACACACACACACAATAGCTTTCAATGCTATACTGAAATCCTTCAGTAATTGTTTTGCACACAATTGGTTTAAAAATAATTCTCATTTTGCATTTCTTTAATCATCCGCTTTCCTCATCCACCAAACAAAATGTTTTCCTGAGCTCAGAGTCCTCCTGCTCATCCCAGCCACCCATTGCCGACTGGATTTGTTCTTTCACCGACTGATAGGGTTTTGCTAACTTGATGTTAACATGTTTTCTCTCTCGGGCAAGTCAACTGCAGATTGGGTATCTGTTATTCAAAGTGCTTGGGACTGGAGTGTTTCAGATTTTAACTTTATTTATATTTTGGTATATTTCATATACATGAGATATCTTGGGGATGGGGCCCATATCTAAACACAAAATCCATTTGTGTTTCCTATACCCTGTGTACACATAGCCTGAAGGTTCCTTTGGCATTGCAACACTTGACTGCAGACTGTCACAGGAGGCCAGGCGTGGAATTTTCCACTCATGCTGTCACCTCAGTGCTCAAAATGTTTCAAGTTTTTGGAGCATTTTGGATTTTCAGATCAAGGATGATCAACCTATATAAATAATCTGTTTAGGAAAATTATTCTTCTGGCATGAACATGTGACTCAACTTTCTGTGCTAGTTGTGAGCCGGAAGAGTTCGTATTTGAGGTGTGTATTTGACTGTCATAAATCCTCTTTGACAGGTGACGCATTGGGCGGTTGAAGTGGCTAATTCCTAACACGTGATTTGTAAGCTTATGACGGACTACTTCCGGCCAAAGATACTTTTCAATATTCCTTAATGTCTCTTTTTCTTCTGAAAAAGAAGTATGTAGGCCTCTTTCCACACAAAGGAAAAGATGCTAAGGCAACTGGGCTGCTGAGTAGTAGCAGTCTGTCTCAGGACATCGGTCACACTACGTTGTTTCTAAAGCAGAATTCTAGCCTTGACAGTGTGACTTTTTTTTTTTTTTTTTGAGATTTTCGCTATAGGGCGTGTGTGCTCGCCAGAAAGACAGAGAGACGGAAAGCAAGAAATCACCGCAATCCGTTCGCCTCCATTCTCCTCTCAGGATCTTGGGCATGCATGCACATGCGCCCGGCATCAGTTTTAAGCCACTGGGTCTGGGACGCGAACCACGGTCGACTACGTGGGAGTCCAGAGACATAGCCATTATGCTAACTGCTGGTCCCGGCAGTGTGACATTCTAAGTCACAAGCAAACTTGTGAAAATGGCAGATGTTGTTTTGTTTAAATTTCTTGAAATTTTGTGCAAGCTGTATTTTACATTCTTTGTAATTCGTTTTCATTAATTTTTATAGCTGATGTGTTTCTTCTGGAGTCTGTCTTCGTTTGCTATAAATGCCACTCTCTAAAATGGAATTTATCTATAGTGGTTTTTTTTTGTTTTTTTTTTTTTAGAGAGGTTTTCGCTATAGGGCGCGTGCACTCGCCAGACAGACAGAGACAGAGAGAAATAAGGACAGAAAGCGAGAAATCACTCCCCAGGGGGGATGGCCACGCCGCAATCCCTTCTCCTCCATTCTCCTCTCGGGATCTTGGGCACGCATGCACACACACCTGGCGTGAGTTCTAAGCCACCAGGTCTGGGACACGAACCGTGGTCGACTATGTGGGAGCCCAGCGACATAGCCATTACACTAACTGCTGGTTCCCTATAGTGATTTCTTCTTACTTGCCATAGGGAGCAAGTGTTCACAAGAGCCAGAAAGCACTTCCAGTGGGCCATGGTCATGCCATGGTCCATTCTCCATTTCTCCATTCTTTTGAGATTTGGGGCATGCACACACATGCTGGTATGTCTTCCAGTTTCCGGCACTAGGACTTGAACCCAGGTCATCCATGTGGGATCTAGCTCCTTTAACCTTTCTAGGCTGTGGGCCTGGCCTAAAAACAATTTTACATCAAAAAATTTCCTAAACTGTTATTTGACATTTTAAAACCTGAACGATTGGATAAAGGTCTCAGTTTTGTGGGGTTTGTTTGTTTTAATTTCACTCTAAATAGGAGGCAAATATAAAACTGTTAAAAGATATGCTTCAGGAGTATAGATGTGTGTGCCCCAAATCCGCACTGGGTGGAGAAATGGGCACACAGGAGTTGAAGCAGAACCAGGCCTCGTTAGGAGTGCTTTCTCCCCCTCCTTTATCTCACTGCCTGTGGAGAGCACACACACCCTCTTGCAAACTTTTTGTCATTTTAAATAAAGATGTGCATCTGGGGGTCTGGCAGGTGGCATGACGGTTAAGGGTGCTGGACTCCCACATGGCTGACAGTAGTTTAGGTCCCGAACCCGGCAGCTTGCTTTCTCACATTCTGTCCCTCTCTGGTCAAATTAAAATATAAATAAGGTTAAATATTTTAAAAGACATGTGCTTCTAATATTAAGGCCTTTTTAAAAGTTTGCCAGAGAGTTCATTCACCCAGGGTGCAGGGCGCAGAGGAAGCACCCGCCATGGGGAATGGCCTCAACGCTGTCCCTTCTCCTTCATTTCTCCATCCTGTAGGGACTGGGGCACACGCGTATACACGCATGCCTGGTATGTTTCTCAAGCTACTGGTCCAGGACTCCAAATTGTAGTTGGCCATTTGGGATCCAGTCACCTTATCCATCAGGTCAAGGGCTGGCCCTATTAAGGCCTTTCAAAGATTCAGCAGTACGCTTCTGCTCTTTAGAATTTCAGAGTACTCATTTAGATGATGGGTAGGCTTGGGTCTATATCTACTGATCAGTTTTCCAAAATAAAAAGCATTGAGAAATACAGGCTTAGGGCCAGCTAGTGGCATAGTGTTTAAGGCAGCTGGATCCCACACGGCCAGATAGGCAGTTCCAGTCCTAGGCCCAGCGGCTTGAAAAGCACAGCAGGTGAATGTGCATGCCTGCTCTCAATCCCAGAGGAGGATGGAACAGAAGGGACTGCAGAGTGGCCCTGCCCCACAGGGAGTGCTTTTTCTCTTTTTCTGTCTGTCCCTGCCAAAATACATGATTAAAATAGACACTTATCTGATGGCTCTAGTGACTTCATTCAGAAATAGTATTTATGTTTCTTCTACCCCATAAGTAAAATTTTATTTTGTGGCTGGTAGGAGTGAACTAGTGACACTTTGTCAAGAGCAGAGAATAATCTCAGACTGGAGCTGCTGACTCAGTTTTCATGTTCGAAGCTGAGCACACCTTTTCCCGAGTCCTGCAAAGTCCTGCCCCCATGTGGACCCACGACCACCCACTGTGAGTTCGGAAAAGAGCCCAGAGTGTCTTGCACTGGGAAAGTAAAAAAGTGATTTTTATATTTCCTCTGAGCCAAACCAGCTGTTTCTCCTTTAAAGATTTCCCTTCGAGATTTCCATTTTATGACTAAGACTAACCAATATTTTTTTGGCAAGTAAGCATTGTGGGAGTGTATCTGTCATCATGAGGAAATCCAAGCCAGAAATGCCTGCTGCATTTCAAGAAATGATGTACTATAAAATGTGCAAATGCATGTAAACGGAGCGGTGCAGTGTAATGGCTCCTATGGGCTTCTCATCGCTTCGAGACTACCGACACTGTTTCACGTGTTCCTCCCACACTCTCCATACCCACCCACACGAGTGTTCCAATGCAACACACGTGTATCATGTCCTCTCACCTGTAAGCACACGTGTATCATGTCCTCTCACCTGTAAGCACACATGCCATGTCCTCTCACCTGTAAGCCTGCATACCATATCCTCCTATCTGTAACCACTACAGTATTATCTAAAACAGGTAAGGATTTTTACAAAACCTAGCCAGGGTGTCATCATTCATCTTAAAATTCACAATGTTTCTTTCATATCATTTAATATTCAGACCATGTTTGTTCAAATTCCCTGAGAAGATCCTTTTTAATGAAACATGTACACAAATGTCAAAGAAATAGTATGGGAGAAGTGGCCTCTACCTCACATTCAGCTGAGGCTCTTGAGCGGGACAGTCCCATCTCATGCATGTTTCTGCATTAAATACGCCTCCCCACTAAGGCTCGATAAAATTCTATCGTATCTGCTATTAAAAGTGTCCCCAGTTTGAAAGATAAATTATGATTCCCAGGCCTCTTTGTAATTCAGGCCAGCTAGTGGCGTAGCTGTTTTGAGTTTGTTAGACTGATTTTCTTTATAGAATTTCCCACATTCTGGATTTGGTTGATTCCTCCTTGTCTTGTCTGGCATGTTCCATTGTCCCCACTATCTTCTGTACCCTGGTACTTACATACCTTGATAGTGTATGCATGCATGTGCTTATGTATGGCCAAAATACTTCGTAAGTGGAGCTGAAATCGTCTTAGTTTTCATTTCCATGAGACAAAATGCCATACATAATGCTACACACAGTGTCTGCTCGGTTCCAACAGTGGAGATGTTGACAGTGTTCAGTGTGTTGAGTTCCCAGCCTAAGGCACCAGCACGCTCCCTGTCAAACTTTCACCTGAGAGTTTAGCATCCACTGATGATCCTTACCTGCTTCCATTTTTTAAATCAATTTGCATATTGATAGCTTCTTTTCCCTTGATATTCTATAAACTTAATTATGTTGTCTGTTTATTTTGATAATTTTTCTCTAACTGATCTAATTTTCATTTTGAAAATATTTTACAGTTAGAAGTTCAAATGGTGAATCAGTAGCTAAGAATTTTTTTAAAAGATCTGTTCTATAGGTAAACATATATAATTTTATTTGTTCTATTGATTCTCCATCAACCATGTACTTGCCAGAAGAGGGAAAGGGGACAAGCATCTCCAGTGGGGTGTGGTCAAACAGGCTTCTCTATTTCTGCACCTTTCAGGATCTTGGACACACATGCTCATGTGCCCAGCAAATCACCAAATTTGGGGACTTTGGGTCATTTATTTCTTCAAATACTCTTGCTTCTCTACTTTGGGTACTGCCATTATTCACATGTTGGCACACTTCACAATGTCATACAGATTCCTGAGGCTCTATCTACTTTTTCCTCACTTCTGGATCACAGACTGGATAATTTCAACTGACGTATCTTCAACTTCTTTCCTGCCCTTTCTCCCTTCCCTCCTGCTCAAAT